TGTGCTTTATTCGCTGCTTGGAGAATTATCTTACATCAGGTTTTTTGATGCTGTCGGCTTGTGATTTATTTTCACCTGAGGTTTGGTATACTCTTAGCTTATTTTTTCTGTTTGTGGCTTTAAGTCAAAGGGATGGGAACACAGTATTGACTTCATCATGTCAAGTACTGGTTTCTTATTCAGTCAAATTCTCTTTACCTTATCTTTTACCCTCGTGTACATAGGACACTCTTTTCATTTTCTCCCATTCTTTAATTTTCAAAACCTTCTCATCTTTTTTTCAAAATCTCCTTTGTTTATAAAATCGAACCGCTTTCATAATAAACCTCGACTTTGTCGAGTGCCTTTTATTTTAAACTTCTCTTCTTTAAACATACTTCAATTCATTTAATCATACTTTGACATTTTTCAAAATTAACAAAAACATTTCAACTCATTCAAACTCTTTTATGCGCTCGAGCACTTTTATTCTTCAAAACTTTTTCAAGATGAGACATAATTCCTCGATAGTCGAGCAACATTATCCTATCCCCGTGGTTATAAAGGTTTTGACTTTTTTAATTGAGTACTAGAGGTGTTATCAAACCCTCACTCTTGTTGACGCAGAGTCCATCTTTCTCACACCTTGTGGGCGTTAGTCGAGATTTATCTCCTAACAATGACAACTTGTCTCTTCGTTTAAAATCAATCAACAGAGAAGTCTTTTCTATCCGAACTACGGTGCTCTGACTTTCCCATTGCACGAGGGAGTACGTAGGCACTAAGTCTTATGACCCAAAGCGAGCAAAAATAATAAAAAACACATTTCATTTTCTTTTGTGTGCAAATACTCATTCATTCTTTTCCTTTAGCAAGTAAGCATTTACATAACAAACCTTTTAAGAGAAACCAAACAAAGTGGATCCTGCGAAATACCGTAGATGCTTAGGGTGCTAACACCTTCCCTTTGCATAACCGACCCCCGTACCTCGATCATTGATCTTTTATTTCATTGTGGGTTTTGTTCGCTTTTTTTCCGTTTCCCTTTAGAAATAATAAAGTATGCTGAAGACTTCATTGTGTTGAGATAAGTCAATTGTTGTCTTATATCATAAGTCTTTACCGCTACATCTTCTTTTTCCTATTATTGCGGCATTTCATCTTTTCCATCTTGCCGACGACGGTGTGCGACAGTAGTGGTGACTTCACTGGGGACAGATTGACCTATTGCTGGTCCATTGCTAAGTGGGTCAATCCTAGCTTTGTTTGTTATCACGTGATGCTACGCTCAAACGATTTTTTCTTGAGAATATTACTAATTTCCGAGTTAATCGGGACATTGGTGATATCCGAAGAAAGGATGTAGACTCTGGGAACCTCTTAGAACCTTGTTCGGCAGGTGATAACTGTTAGTCCATACCTTATGGGTTGTACCTTTGACTCTAGGCTCGTGACTCTAAACCATGTAATCTTGTTATTGTGCAGTGCATTACATAACATTGCATATCATTTACATCATATGCATCATTCTGCGTATATCCAGGTTGTTCAGGATCTTATTCCCAATTGCTTCTTTCTTCCAGTTAGTCATCTACCGTCAAGTTGATTCCTCAACACAACTACGGGACTAGAGTTGCTGATAGATTGAGAATGGAAAACCAAGAACAACACAACATGGAAGTCAGAATGGAAATCGACGAGTTGAAGTCAAGCATGGCCAACCTTACTGAGATGATACAAGTCCTGATTTTTATAGGAGATCCACCTCAAAGGACTGTGATATCTGAAATCCCAACTGCTGCTGTTGACACTCAACCTATCCAGCATATATCTACTACATGGCTAGAGTTTGGGTTACCTCATAACTACTCTCCGCCTGTTGTAATTACTTTAATGGTTGGTCAGTCTTCTTGACCAATTTTTCAAGCTCCAGTTTTCATTGAACCTTAGCCAATCGTTCATACTGCGTCTCGTTAACCTACTGCATAAGTTGCTTTTGGGAACCCTCTCTTTGAGTACCATACTTCCAGTCCTCGAAGTATGATTCAGGGGGACCTTGGTGAGTTTGAAGATTTCAAAGAACAATATCAAACTTTAGAGAAGAGACTTAGAGCTATGCAAGGAAATGAGTTCTTCAGTGTTGATGCTAACAACATGTGCCTAGTTTCTGATCTGGTTATGCCTGCAAAGTTTAAGACTCCCGAGTTTGAGAAATACCGGGGGCACACTTGTCCAAGAAGTCATTTAGTGATGTACTTTTGAAAGTTGTCTGCTTACACAAGGAATGACAAGCTGATTATCCATTGTTTCTAAGATAGTCTGAGTGGAGCTTCGTTAAAATGGTATATGGGACTTGAGAAAGGCCATATCCAATGCTTCCAAGATCTTGTTGATGTTTTCATAAAGCAATACAAATATAACCTTGACATGGCCCCTAATCATCGCCAACTGCAAAATATGTCTCAGAATGAGAAAGAATCTTTCAAGGAATATTCTCAACGATGGAGAGAACTAGCATCATAAGTTGAACCACCTCTTGCAGAGAAAGAGCTAACTGGATTGTTCATGGATACTTTGTCCCCTTTATTTTTGGAGAAGATGATTGGTAGTGTGTCTTCCGGCTTCACAGACCTGGTGACTATTGGCCAGAGATTAGAAGAAGGAATCAAGAATGGTAAAGTGTCTAAAGCCGTTGAATCTTCTAATAGAAGAAGAAAGAGGTAGAAGCCAATGCTGTCTCGACTGAGAGAAGAGGTCCCTGTCGTAGGTCTCAATACATTGATCAACAAAAAGTAGCAGCTATTACTCCCGCGGTCAATGCTCAATCAGTTTAGGTCCCTCAACGACATAATATTGCATAGAATAAAAATCGTTATGTAGGGAATATGGGTCAATTTGATCCCATCCCTATGACATACACTTAATTATATCATGCAATGGTTCAAAAGGGCTTGATTACAACTAGGCCTATGATTCCTCGAAATCGTCCTCCAACCGAGTTCAGATCTAACCTTCACTATGAATTTCATCAGGGAGCTTCCAGTCATGATTTAGAAAGCTGCTATGCATTGAAAAACAAAGTGCAAGAATTGGTGAAAGCAAATATTCTCACTTTCAAGGAGACAGGTCCAAATGTTATCAACAATCCTTTGCCAAAACCAAGTGGCTGAAGACTGAGTCGGGGTACCCTCAAGTCACTTCCTAAATCTAGTGTTTCAGACATGACAACTCATCCTTGTTACTGATTAGTCACTAGGCCATCTTTCTTTCTGTTTGCATTTTTCCTTGTTTATGTTAAAATTGTTGCTTTCAAATTTTGTTTGTACTTCCATGATAATTTTAATGAAATGATCATTGCAATGTTTTGATTAAAATCATTTTCATTTACATGCTTTCATAAATACGTCTTGTTTACTCTCTTTATCTAGCTTTTGTTTATGAAAAGATTTGAGGGAGGATGGTGAAAACGAAATACCCATAATTGTTGCTGGTATGATTTCGAATAAAACTTTGTTGAGGATATACAAGCATTGTTTCAACTCCCAAACACCGGAGCAATAAGCACTACGCCAAATAAGCTATTTAATAGCGCTTTTTTTTTGTTTTTGATAGCGCTTAAAAGTGCTATTAACCGCGCCACTATTGTAAATATTTCTTATTTAATAGCACTTTAAAAGCGCTATTAAAGTACCAATTTATAATAGCGTTTTAATTAAAGTGCTATCAAAGTCAGTATTTTGCATGTTTTTTGTTTGTTTTTTTATAGCACTCTAAACAAAAAGCGCTAATATATAACATATGTTTGATAGCGCTTTCAAATAAAGTGCTAATAAATGGTACATATTTGGTACAATATTTTTAATAAGTACAGTACAATATTTTTTCTTACACAATCATTTTTTTTGGTGTAAATATAAAATAACTATATTCAATTCAACACAAATAACGCTTTAAGTTACTCATTGCATATATATTATGATCCATCAAATACCAAATAACATTTTAAATTACCAAATCCTATTGTTTCCAAATATCATAACATATAGAATATTAAGAGGGCGTTTGCATAGCCAAATTTGTAGATGCCCATCTATGAGTACTTCAATCCAAATCCAAAAACATACAATCAAATTCTCTAAACAAAACACCAAAAAAATAAGAAAGGATAACAAAACAATCCCATGTAGTAACCACCTTCATGATCCAAAAGCGTTGAAGTATCCACAATCAACGCCATTAATTTGACGAGGACACTACAAAAAAAAATTTATATCGATTAATTTTACTCCACATAATTGTTTTAAAATAACATTAATTTAGACACAATTACCTAGAAATAAACTTGTCATACAAATACCTAGAAATGAACAACAATTGATATTAATATATTTGTCACCAATGTGAATATTAGTCAACAATACAAATAACATTAATATTAATAATATATTTGTCAAATAAGAGAATATTTGTAATAATAGAGGTACCTGGAAAATACAGTGACAATATCTTGTTATGCAAGTAACTTCTAGTTTCTACATGACTAGCATAAGATCATTTGTAGCAGAGACACTTTGGATTCAAAGTATTTTAGGTGTCTCACACACGCCATGGTTACATTCATTTTCATTTTCTTAAACCGTTACTAAGTTTATACGAGTCAGTGTCGTGTCTGTATCTGTATCAGTATCATGCTTCAACTTTGAATAATATTGGAGCTAGGAAAAGGTCATACCAAATTCAAGTGATGAACGTGTGTCAGAACCTTTAGTTCGGCTAGGAATTCTTTTGATGCTTGCATATCCATCTTTTTTATTGCAGCTTTCTGCAACAACAACAAAAAAAAGAAAAAGTTAATTGCTGCTAATAAATTGAATTTCCATTTTAAAATAGATTTTAAACACACAAACCTCGTTGCGAAGCTCGGCATAGTAAACAGATCCAAATCCACCTCGACCGGTTTTCTAGCAGAATGGGATTTCTTTATGAACCTTATTAGTCCAGTAGCTTCAAGAGTTTCTTACATGACAGCAATTGGGAACCATGAGAGGTATTGCTTGCATCCACATTAATAATCATAATTCTGTTCAAACATTTTAACAATAATTGAATGGCTTATTCTGTTCAAACTTGTTCTTATTTATATTCACAGGGATTATGTAAGTTCTGGTTCGGTTTATCAAACACCCGACTCTGGTGGTGAATGTGGAGTACCTTATGAAACATACTTTCCAATGCCCACTTCTGCAAAGGATAAGCCTTGGTACTCAATTGAACAAGCAAGTGTTCATTTTACAGTAATATCCACTGAACATGACTGGTCCATAAATTCTCAACAGGTTAATTAAATAAATAATTATTTCCTATTTCATATATTTCTAATTTAATTAAATGATTCATATATGTAAAATTCATATTGCAGTATGAATGGATGAAAAAGGATATGGCATCCGTTAATAGACAACATACTCCTTGGTTAGTCTTCATGGGGTAAGTGATTTATGTAAATTTTTAGATTGTGGTTTCTCAACTAATGTTTTAAAAACCAAACTTAACATTGAGCCAACGAGACTTCCGAGTCATGATTCAGCTGACTTATACCACTCAAACCGAAATAAAATCACAACATTTATTGAACATACTATTTTTATTTGCAGACATAGACCAATGTACACTTCCAACCAAGGATTTTCGTCTAAAGAAACTGTTTGTTCTGTTGCATTAGCAGGGAGAGAGCTGGAGTCTTAAAAGAATTTCTGAGTTTGGTTATTTACGAGCACATGCTACTAAAAATGATTTAAACTTGGAGGTTAGTATTTATATACTTATATTCCAACCTCAATCACCATTTCATTTTTTAAGCAAAATACATCAGAGAATCATGATTTCTTTATTTTATCTTAAATACATTTTAAGCATTATATACTTCTTTGCAGTTTGTGACATCAGATACAAGAGAAGTTAAGGATAGTTTCCGCATTACAAAGTAAAAGCTTACTCAAGAAAAAGAAACAGATAAAGAAGTAGAAGTAGAAATTGGTTTACTGACAGACCAAAACACACCTATATAAAATATGGAAAGCAAAAGGAGATCTAGAGACACTTGAAGATGAACAGCATTTCGGTTGATTCATTTAAAAAGAATTACATATAAACAAATAAGTTCTTGTTACTGCAACTCTTATTTCTAGTCCAAATCAAAATCAATATATATATATATATATAGTTTCTAAGTATGTTAATTGCTGCTAATAAATTGAATTTCCATTTTAAAATAGATTTTAAACACACAAACCTCGTTGCGAAGCTCGGCATAGTAAACAGATCCAAATCCACCTCGACCTATTATATTTGCCGCGCTAAATCCGTCAGTAGCTTTGGCTAACTCCTCATATGAAAACTCCACTGACTTATCAACCGTAATACCAGTCAACCTCGGAGAAGCAATAGTAGTTGATTCGGAAGCCTTATCCAAGCTACTTCCACAACCTAAATCCATGGAACAAATAATCCTCATATATATACATGAAAACTTAATCTACAATCTAGAACTAGAAAATATCACTAGACAGTTAACAACAAAATATGATATATACCATGTTGGAGTTGGCTATATTGTTCTTCAGATGCACCTGGGACTGGTAGAAGGGTTACTTGAGCAACTTTTTTTCTTCTATAGAACACAACATAGAGAATGAGTGCCAAAAGTAAAATTCCAAAAGCTCCTCCAACAACTATGCCAGCAATGGCTCCTTTGGACATTCCTATTCAAATTGGTATCATAATTAACAGTGTCAGCTACATAGCAATATTTATTTACCCTACCATGATTTTTCATGTCACTCTTTCACTTGTATATATTGATTAACATATATTTATGAAGCTGCAATGTGTACATCACCTGATCTGCAAATACAATCAACACCAAGAATTCAATTAACACCAAGAATGACTATCAATTTTTCATATGATTTTCATAATTTATGCATATTGATCAAGAGAAGAAAATAGGCACTGCATTGCTACAAGTGTGATCTGACATGATTTCAAATTGCAAGATGAACATGTTTATTAAAAATGAAAACCCAACAGTTCATTCACTCCAATACACAATAATGCAATAATCTCATGAATCATGAATCATGATAGAGGACAAGGATTGAAAGAATTCAAAACAACAAGATTCAACATTTGAACATGATATTAATGCTGAAGTGAACACCAAGAATTCAGTTTAACTTCGACATGCTCAACTACAGTTAGATTCATAATATAAAATTAGTCATATAAGCTAACAAGAACACTTCTTCTAACAAACACAATTATGAGACTTTACTTGATCAGCAGTGGCGTGAGGAGAATGGCTTAGTGGCCAACCTTACAAATTTGTGTCATCAATTCAGTAATGGAAAGATGCAGTATGTCAAAGATCTTATCAGCAATACCATTTACAAGATTATTAGTAAGATTGTGGTCAATAGGCACAAGATAGGTATTGATGACATGGTTTCTCCTTATCAAACTGGTTTCATCCCCAAGAGAAGCATCCATGAGAATATTGTCATGACTAATGAAATGGTCCATAGCATGAATAAGCTTAAAGGTAACAAGGACTTTTTTGCTATCAAGCTGGATTTATCTAAGGCCTATGACATGAGTTGGAGCTTTATCAAAAAGGTTATGCAGCAGGTTGGCATACCTGAGAAGATCAATCAGATTATCTTGCATTGCATATCAACTGTCAAGATAAATGTGTTGTGGCAAGGTCAAAAGGGAACAAATAACCAAAAAAACACCTTAAAAGATCTGAATAGACAGGTTCGCTCCAGCTCGCACAATCAAGTCCAAGTTTCTCAAATGCTGCAAGCACAACATCGAAATCAAAATCGAAAAACAACAGTTCGTTACACTCCATGAAAACAGAATAACACAAGGAGAATATGGAATTATAGATGAGCAGTGACAGTGAGCACAGTCGAACTGTTGATACCTTTATTGAAGGCTATGCGATTCCCACGGTATGCATCCACAAGAACCCTATAAAACAAATAAATAAATAAATAAAACAATTAACAACCACAACAGTTCAAACAAGTTGAGCAGAGTGAAACTGAAACGAGATTGTTAATAACGAAGAAAAGCGAAAATTCACCCGTCGACTTCGAGGAGAACTGCGAGATCTTGAGACGGGATGCCGCTGTCGTCGGTGGATGAAGCGGCGATGACGGCGGTGGTGTGGCCGGGAAAATCGAAAGGGGAAAATTGATGTCAAAGCTAACTTCTAACAGATTCCATAACCCTTAACTGTTTCTAACCAACTTCCTAACAGATAACAGAAAAGTGAGGAGGGAGTTCACAATTCAGACACACCAGAAAAAGTCACAGAAAAATTAGAGAAAAACACTCACCATTCTTCTCGGAACCCTATCTAAGAAATCTCTCTCAATTCTCTCTACTTCCTCTTGCAATCTTCATCTCTGTAGCATGGGGGCAGAACCTTCAATTTTCATCTCCGCTTTCGGAATCTGCAAGTGTCATCATCATCGCAACATCTTTGTTCATTACTTCAGAAACAACATCACGAATCTACAATAGAACGCAACAACAACGCATAATTAGTGCATGAAGAACGCAAGAAAAAGAAGTAGAGAACGAGTAGCAAAAAGGAGAAGAAGGTAGAGGTGAAAACGTAAAGCCGGAAGTGTTGAATCGTACCTGAGAGATCTAATTTCTTTCGATTCTTTCGTCTTCCTCTCCAACACGATAACCGCCGCCAACAAGTTAGTCCTTTCCTCAAATTCTCTTAGCTTTCTTTATACCACGGAGTAGTTTAGGATCCTCTAAACATTTCTCCTCTTCCAATAGCGTGATTGCAAGCTTCGTTACCGGTTAATTCCATACTTTAGCTTTCTAGGGTTCATGATGTAGAGGTTTTGACGGGAGCTTGAGAAAAGTGGATCAGATATGGAAGGAGAGAAAGGTTTCTGAAAATGTGTTTTTTTTTTTTATCAATTAATTAATTAATTCATTATTATATATAAGATAGCGCTTTTTAATAAATGCTATTATATAGGTAGTCAAATAATAGCGTTTTATACAAAATGCTATCTTAAAGAAGTTTAATAATAGCGTTCTGGTACAAAGTGCTATCAAAATTACATGTCTGTATTATATAATAGCGCCCGATTAAAAAGTGCTATTATAAATGTGTTTTTTCCATTTTAATAGCATTTTTTTTAAAAGTGCTATTAAATTAGGTGATACAAAAAATCATTTTTGGCGTAGTGAAGGAAGTTAATCCCTCGTTCACCCCTTTGAGCCTAGAAGTTAGAGTTTCTTTCTGTACAAAAAGCCCGCAATCTTAACCCGGGGATGGGTAATTCTCAGTTAATTTGGCTCTGCATTCAATTACAGGAGAAATCATGCAAGACACCTTTCAACAAAAGGCCGTGATCAAGCTTTCCTTTGCATACAACAAGAAGTGTCAAAGATGCTCCCAAACCAAAAATGAAAAAGACGGTTCCCCGTAATCATTGAGCAAGGTAGTCATTATCTTTCCAAAATGAAAAATGAAATGAAATTAAAAATCAAAAGAAAAAATCCCGCTAAGTCAAAACCTATGAAGGAGACTTTGGCAAAAAAAAAAACAGTGGCATCCCGCTGAATGTAATCTCAAATGAAACAATTTAGGCAAAAGTTGGGAATAATAAATTCAATCAGAAGAGGTCTTCAAATCCTCAAAATTCTCCACCAGAGTTAAAAAAAGTCCTCAAAGAAACAAAATGATGTAAGAAGAAGTGACCACCGTCTCAAAAATTCCTTAGCTTCTGAATCGTCGTCTTTGCTACCATAAGTGAAATTCCAAAATCTCTTGGAACCTGAATGCATATTCTGAATTAACTGAATGTAGGACTGAAGAACATCACGAAGATTGGGTTGGTTACAAATAAAATTTGAGCCTTGATCCTTTATTTCTTAAACCGTGAACCAGACTACGTTACAACCCTCAAAAGACCTAATTGAAGACAGGTTTCTTTTGAAAGCATACTACAACAAGGTTGCGTAAACTGAATCTTAAGATATTTTGTGAATAATTTATTTTGGTATCATACCTTTGCTTTCTATTTCACTTTTAAAAAAATAAACCACTTTGTTTTAACCAGTGATGCATTTTCTATACACCAATAATATCATTTCAAAAAGGATTTTGAATTCAAAATTTTGCATGAAATTTTTGCCTTAAAATTACCATGTTTGAATAAACAATTTTGCTTGCAAACAAGGTTTCCTCGTCAAGGAGTTTCAAACATCTGAGAAACTTGGTCAGCGACCTTATCAGGGACAAGTATCTTTCAGATCCATTTGAGAATCAGTTCAAGATTTATTACTCAGTGCAAGTTTTCTCAGAATTGGTTAGCCAGAAGATCATTTTAAAGACTCATATTGGGGCATTCCTTTCCAGCAACTTTCGACTGAAGCCATGATCAGTTTATTTCAAACAAATATCTAAAGAACTGAAGCCATGATTAGTTTATCTCCAACAGTCATTTCAGAGCTGAAGCTTGTTAGACGATTTGATCGATCTAGAAGGGGGGGGGGGGGGGGGGGGGGTTGAATAGATCGTTTAAAATAATTTGCGCTTTTTAAATTTGTTTTCATAAAAATATGCGAAAGCTTCCTGGAATATCCAATCGTCTAAACGGTCATCCATTGAAAAGATCGGATATGCGAAACCGCATGGGATATAATGACAAACTAAGAATTAATGCGTTTTACTCAATTAATCAATTACTTATACACTTTCAATGATTACTAATTACTAACAATGAGTTGAATGAGATAAGGATAAGCACAATTAATAATTTAGTGGATTAGTCAATTTGTCAAACACCTTGTGAACAAAGCAACTTAGGTTTGGTTTTACAAAATTGTAGTGGTAAGTTTTATTAGGTGTCAATCAAAAGGATTATTACCAATGTTTTGAAATGAACTCAACACACTACAATTTCAGTAAGTGATGATTTGAAAAATTAATTTCCGTACAGTTTAGTAATCAAGTATAGAGATGAAGTAAAAAGTAGAAGAACACACGATTTGTTAAGGCAACTCCCCTTGTCGTCCTCGCGTAGGGTACGTTTGCCCCCAATTCTAGAATCTAGAATTGAGATATTTGATATTAAGTTTCAAATGATACAAGAGAAGAGACAATTCACAATACAAACAAACCAAGGTTGCTGATGTAACAGTCTTCTTCCCTTTCCTTGGTTTGAGCAAAACCAAGTGCCAAATTCTTCGAACAAACCTCCATTTACCGCAACTTGATTAAGAAAACCCACCATTTCTTAATTCTTTCACTCGGCTGGTTTCAATCGCAAGCAATTTGACCCCAAATCTATCTCCACAATACTCCGGTTATCACTACTTGATTAAGCAAACCCACCGTTTCTTAATCCTTTCACTCAGCTAAATTCAATGAAGCAAAGACTTCTGCGAAAACCCCCGCACCAATAGGAATCTTAGAGGAGAAAATCTGAATAATTTTATTCAAGAACAACCCACAATTGCTCAACCCAAATCTGAATTGAATCCTTGATTTGAATGTTATCACCACAACAATTTTCTTGAATCAACAACCATGATTATGTGTAGATGTTAATTTTTGAGAAGAGAGGATGAAGATGATGAGCATTATGTGTATCTTTCACTAGTTCTTGTTAACTTCAAATAATGATGCATAATGAATATATATATATATATATATATATATATATATATATATATATATATATATATATGTTACCTAATACCCAATATTCACAAACATAGCAGAAAATCAGTTGAGGCCAGCGAGTGGTCGACTCAACCAGAAGCAGGGGTCGGCGTGACACAATCCGCACCCAGAGAGGAAACTATTTTGAGGTGTAATGCGTAGACCACTTCAGGACTTATGTCGTTGTAAACAGTAAATATTCTGATTCTCAGGTTGAGTCGACCAGAAGGGTCGACGCGATACATCCAACAGTCAGAGAGAATTCCATTTTAAAGAGTAGTGCGTCGACCACTTCAGGGTTTGCATCGACAGAAACTTTGAGTGTTTTAATTTCCAGTTTGAGTCGAACAGAAGGGTCGATCTGACACATCTAGGGCTTGATTGAAGATGATGAGTCGACCAAACCTATATTTGAGTCGACGCACAGATTGAATTTTCTCAAAAATACTTGTTTCTAGGGATCTTCATTTCAATAAATCCATTGCAAGATTGTTCATAGAGCCAACTAAAATAGAGAGAGATTAATAATCGTTTTGACATCATTAAAATACTTATAGAGGGACTTTGCCCTCACGTACTCCCCCTTTTTGATGATGTCAAAATAATGCTCAAATATGCTCCTCCGGAGTTTCTGCGTTCCATTTGAAAGCTATGTATAGTCTTCTATGTTCACGTCTCCCCCTTTGACAATATCAAAAAGAGAAATAAGACAAGGTCAAAAGTAACAAAATATAACAAATGCAACATCATTTTCCACTTGCAACTAAAAACACCAACAATCATTCACACAAAATGAAATTAGTGCAGATCATAAAATTTAAAAATTAGACAAATGTATGTAGAATATTACAAACCAGTTCATAAGGATAAGTGCATGAGGTAATCGAAAGAAATGTAACATAAGAACTTAAATAGAATTACATATATATAAACATGAATCAATTCTCTAGGTTGTCGGTATCATTGTTTTCTAGAGTATCAGGTGGAAGGTTTGGAAAATGATGAAGAAAGGTGGAATGAAGGGAAGAAAGGTTCCCAGCTTGTGAATGAAGCATGCCTTCCAACATGGAGTACCACTGATTTTGAATATTTGAATAGTTTGAGAACATTTCGTTTTGGACTTTGTCAAGGTTTTAGATGTTCGAAATCCTCTCATTTTGAAGGAATGTGTCTACCTTTTGTTGGATCTGCATTCTCTCTAAAAGAGCTATCACATTGGCGTTGTTTTCTTGAGGATCTGGAATGTCCTCGTCCATATTTGCTTCATTTTCTTCTTCCTCAGACTCTTCTTCTTCTTCATTATCATCCTCTTCCCCATAACTATTTTGGAACGAAACTGATGTACTTCTTACAACATAACGATATTTTTGTTCCTTGTGATCCCATTGGAAGCCCATCAAGGTACATGATTTTTTTGTGAATTCAAGATCACATGTCATACCCGCATAAGGAATTCCTACAATTTTAATATTTTCTCGATTGAGAACTCTTTGAATGAAAGAGGGATAACATAGTGTTGTGCCTCTGCCAGAGTTATGCAGATCAAACATTCAGTTAGAAAAATAGTGTGGCCAATAAACCTTTATTTTATGTTTTAAAACATAAAGCAGTTGAACTTCAGGTTTATCCACACGAGAAAGACCACCCTTCTTGGGTCGAATGATATGGAAAATGATCCGAAAGAGAATTCTGTCAAATGGGGCTAGGGCACCAGTTGTTACAAATCTTGGAAATAAATCATTGTTTACTATTCTATCATTGTAGGGTTTCTTTAGCATGGAGTTTAAGGCCGACATGAATTCATAGTTGGGAGCAAGAACAATATCAGAGATTTTAATAGCATCAGAATCAACTGGCCACATACCAAATAGGTATTTCCATACATGCGAGCTAATCATATAATATTTGTTGTTCATTCTATATTTAAATTCAAAACCCTTAAACTTTCCTTGCATTCCAGCATAGAACATTTTGACTAAATCCTCATTATACGGTGTATCACATTTAAGAAATAAGTGGAAGTTCTGAAATCTTAACAACTCAATAATTTCAAGAAGATGCATATCACCCAAGGTTTTCAGATATAGAGTCGATTGCCTAACTATGTTTCTCTTACCAAAAGTGTCTGCAAAAGTACCAGCAATGTCATCA